CTCAAATTTGGAGACGATTGAGAAGATCAGAGCATGCCTTGGGGCATCATAAAAAAGACACCGTATAAGACATAAGCAACAGTTTCTACCTCCCTGGATTCACAAAGGCAAAATCTCTGCAAATAAGAAATCCCATGAACTCTTCCCATCAGTTGAGTTGATGGGAGGACATCAAAGTGAGCTCTGGAAAAGGCCATCTATATTACCGTAGGGTTAGATTGCATCTGACTTCTGTATCAATCATACTGATTTATGCTGTAGGTTGCTTGCAGTTATCTAACATCTGGAGGTACAATTCAGGGACCCTGGTGTTGTCATTTTGAAGATCAATGTCCCAGATTCTCTTTCACTGCTGATTTGGCTTTCTCCGGGGTTAATTGACCTAAGTGTTCAGCAGATGAGCCAAGATTGCACAATTCTTTTATGCAGATATATTATACGGTGCTCATGAGATTGGTAGCTGTCTGAAAACAGCAGAGGCATCATGTCTGTAGGGTCAAATGTAGCTCTAAATCCTGAGATTGGAATCCTAATACTTATTAGCTTTAAACATTAAAACTGCATTGGGAATGCATTTTGGGGCACCCAAGTCCTAAGGAAATGCAACCTGAATGGCTTCAAAATGCCTTAGGCTTGTATATGGGCCAAGTTGAATTCCAAATAATGAACAACAAATTGCCACAAAGGGAGGAAAACAACCAACAACCAACACCAGGGAAAGTGTGTCTGAAATACCTTATCTGTTAACTTTTTAACTTTGATTTATTACTTTTAACTAGTAATTGTAACCTTGTTCTTAAACTTAATTGTGCTTTAAATAACATTTTTATATAATGATAAGATGTTGTTTGTTAAACTATGCAGAGTCAGCTAGGTGAGATGGAAAGTGTGAATTAGAGAGAAATAAGTGGAGAGAGGGGGGAGAGGGAGGGAGAGAGAGAGAGTTTTTGTTTTGTCGCCAATAACTTACTGAACTGTCTTTAAAAAATAACCAGTCTTGGTGTACTATCCTTTAATTCCTTACAGACAGTTTTGGACTCAAGCTCTATTTGAGAAATCAAAGCAGAAAATGTGTCCAAGTAGAGGATAAGAAGAAGAAATAAACTTCAGTCATAATGTTGCTCCACAGGAAACAGCCATTTGATAAACACGGGTTCATAATTTGGGAACACTTTATCAAGTGCCATCAGAGTTTGACAAATCCTCTGCAAAGTTTGTCTTGCTCCCTTCTCATACCAATTATAGCATTTCACAAATGTCTCGAATAGATAAATAGCTGGATTTATTTAATCTTAAGAAATTGAAATTTCTCCAGATAAACATTATCGCAAATATCAAAAGCTTCAACATGTTTATCTCCCTGGGAAGTTTTATGCCTTCAAATGAAAATGTTTCAAATCTTGAGACAGGAGAGGCAGTCTCTATTGCAGTCTGCCATGCTTTTAGCTATTATAAACAGAAGCCACTCAAATCATCTGCCTTGTTTCTCTGTGCAGCATTGCCAGCTTCTGTCCTAAAAGAAAATCTTATTTATTCAACAAGAAGGATGTCACATTCTGGCATAAGTTGCCTTTTCAATGGCTGTTGTTTTCAACTCATTATTTGCTTTTAGCTGATTTGTGTGCTGTTGAATAAGCAGGCTCCAAGTTTTGAGGGCCTTCCTGAGTAAACTATTTTTGTTGCTATTCTACACAACCAGTAGTACAATTTGCATCCTACACAGGTGTCAGCTACCGGACAGGCCCCAAAAGCGCGGATGCTGATGAACTATCAGTTTGCCCCAAGTAATCAACAGGCCATGCTGGGGAAGCGTTACAAGGGCAGGAGACTAAGCTAGTGGTCTGTTCTAATCAGCACATGGTTGCCGCCATTTTATTCTCTGCAATATTACCACAGCACAGCAATAGACAAATCTGATAGTGATTTGACAGTATTTTAGTCAGTTTCCTCTCTTCATCTATAACAGGGGTGTCAAACTGGCAGCCTCCTACATTCTGAGGATGCATGACTTATGAGATCCTCACTCTTTCAGGGAAGTCTGAAAACTATGGGAGCCATATGAGCAGAAATACAAATGGCATACATAACATAGTTTTCTTTAATTCTGTCCATTACATTTTTAATCCCTTCCCCAACTGTAATGAAGTTCAATGCGTTTATACTGAATTGCATTGTCTATGGAAATTAAGGAAGATTTAAAGGGTGTAACAGAGGAAGAAATATGAAGAACAATTTTTAAAAAATCAGTTCTAAACTCTGTGAACTTTGATGAGCTATTTAAAAAGTTAGCCACAATTAGAATTTGTAATAATTGACTGATTCAAAGACTGAAGGAGCTAGGTAATATTTTAAAAAGATGAGAAGCAGTCACTTATGTAACTGAGTTGCACAATAAAATTAAGAAATAGGTATACATTTAGGTATGTATGTAAGTATGTATGTATGTAGCCTTTAATATTTTTTATCAATAACTCCAAATGGCAAACATATCCAACACAGTTTCTTCCTATATCAAACATAGCTACAGAAATAAATGATTCCACCTGTGGCTTTTTTAGTTTGCAGTTATGGATTTACTTATCTGGGAAAGAATGAACTCAGAGAGATTTTATTTCCCCCCCGGGGAAAAATGTGTAGCTTTGCACTATTATATCTTAAATAACCTAAATTTCAATATTGTTTTTCAAAGTACAATTTCAAAATGAAGGAAACAGGGAATGTTTAACGGAAGCACAAGTTGCCGTCTCAAAAGTCTGGCAGCATGTTTCTGATGCATTGGAAATGCCTGAAATTCAACCCCTTTTCACAACATTTGAATGAACACTTCTTGATAATAATCTAAAATGCGGACATAAAAAAAATCTTTACTGACTTCCTTAGAAGGCTTGGTGCTTGGAAGAAGATGTGATTACATGTGAGAGGCTAGTTTTCATGTTCTAAGAAGATATCAGAAAGCGTAGATATTACATGTTATATATCTATGAGAATTAGGAAAGCAGAAGAATGTTTAATGCATGGAGACTGTGAAGGATCTGCTGGAAGAAAAGAATTGTGCCATCTCTTAGCATATAAGACATGTACATTTAGCAGAAACTGTAATGGATTACGTTTAAGGAACCAAACAAGAACTAATGGAACCTGCAATATGGAACCTGCAATGTGGAATCTAATTTTTTTAAAAACCTTTAATATTTTCGATAAGGATGTGGAAAACTTGCTTGTCTTACTTTTCCATGTTAGTCAGGGTACAAATCAAAAATAAAAATAAAAAGTGCTATTTATCCTCCAAGATGCTAGAAGCATTGTACAGTCAACATATAAATCCTGACCTTTGCCGGATGCATGTGTCACGAGGGACAAAGTAAGACTGTTCTCGGTACAAACTGAAGGGGACTACAAAAACGTGGGCTTTTTTTGTGTAGAAGCAAAAATAAATAAAAAGGTTAATGATAACCTTTGCTCTGCTTTGTTTCCAGGCTTCTGGAACATCAGGGAAAAGCTGGTTTAAACTTGTTTATACTCTTACAATTTCCCCTGTTGTCATGAAGTCTTTTCCTAACTTCCTGCTCGTTTTCTCAGGGGCCATCGTGAAAGGTACAGGAACCCAGTTTTTTATAAAGAAGCAGGAAGCAAAGGAAAAACTGAAGGCATGGAATGTGCCATAAAACATTGTCAGAAAGACAGGAAGGATGGATTACTTGGGAAGCTTTCAGAGACCTATCTTGGATAATGATTCTGAAATATAGTAGCTGCCTCAGATCAGATAACAGATCTGAGCATTCATAATCTGTGCCACAATAGTGGAAAAAAAGAGGATTTACTATACTAGACTCAGATTTGCTTCAAAATTCAAAATATTTAGAGAGGAACTAGGTCGGGTTTCCATGACACAGTAACCTCTACATAGGTTAAATTCCAACTTTGCAGCATTCCAAGAGATCAGCAAGATCAGGAAAGGCTTGGTTTTCTACAATGCAAATCACTACAATTCCCACAGATCTGGTCTGCATCTCAGCCCATCCTAAAGATCTGTGGTGACAAATGTTTCTGTGAGAGTGCAGTCCTGCAAGCAACCTCTATTACTTCTGGATGTGGATTAGGCAGGCCAAATGTTTCATACCAAAAATTCAATTCTAAACAGATTTCCTGGAAAGCACATTGGCTTGGAAGCAGTGGACCTATTGCGCAGTTCATTGACTGACATGGTTGCTAGTCATAATTCTGAAGAATTACTCTCTCCTTCCTTCTTCCCCACATTCCTATTCATTCCTATTATGTATATGATAATGCCAGCATATCTTAAATTAAATTTTTGTACCTTGCTATTTCCTCAGCCATATACTAATAGCAATAGCATTTAGAGTATGATACTACCCCACAGGTTGAGAATTCAATCCTAGGTAGCAGATGTTTCTCTATCTAGTGCACACAAAAATCTGCTGCAAACACACAAAAGTCTGCTGCAAGCTCCATGTATGTTATCAGGAAGAGAATCCAGCCAGTAAACACTCAGCTACATCTAGTTCCCCTGACTCTACCCCATTAAAAAGGGGAAGTGCTTTACAGCACTCTCTGAGCAAGTTACAGTGTAAGCATTGTATTCATATTGCCCACAACAATCTGGGTCCTCATTTTACCCACCTCGGAAGGATGGAAGGCTGAATCAACTTTATGCCAGGCTCAAACTCTAGATTTATTGGCAGAGTAACGCTGCAGTTCTACACTTTAACCATTGCGCCACCGGGGCTCCTACTATAACACGATAATAGTTGTGTTGTCTTCTTAGGCAAAGTTGTTTGAAGCCTCCCCTCTCCAAAGTAAAGCAACCTTATCGATCTAGTCCACTAAAGTTGGGCTCCAGCTTATAACTCAAAATTATGAACCAAACCAATAAAATGCTGTGCTGGATTATGACAGCTGAAGTCCAAGACAGTTAGAAGACAACATATTGAGAAGATAGTGATATTTAAGGCCAAGATACAGAATGATTTCCTCCATACCTCTCTTTCATGGTGACCAGAATCTTCTGCATTCCTAACATTGAGGATGTGAACTTCTTGTGGCAATCCAGCAGTTCCTTTGCTTGCACAGCCAGATAAGACAGTAAAACTTTCTAGCAAGGCTTGGACTGGATGTGAACTGTTGACCTGAGACAATAGACAGCCACTTCTAGGCACAGGACCTATAGAATAAATAGAAAGGAAGATTAACTTGAGGTAAAAGGCTGTAGCAAACCTAAATCAGAGCAAAGTCTAAATTATCTCACCAGCTGCTTGGTCTAACCTTCTGCTATCACACGAATTATATAAAGTGCCAAGTTAATAGCATACCAATTGCAAATGGAATGAAAGGGATTAAGATGGTTATAAGAGGAAATGCTATGCATACTTCTTATTCACTGAAATTTATTGAAGGGTTCAGTGCCCTGTTTTCTGCCTAAGGATGTAATCATACCTATCTTATCTTGAGAACACGAACTGTTGAAAGCAATGAAACCAAACTTCCAATAAGCCGGTTTAGGACTAGGATATAACCCAAAGTGCCTTCTTCGAAGTAAAACTATGGTATTCATCTATCTCAATTTTTCTTCAAGAAGTAAACATCAAAGTGAAAATCTGTGGAATTATACCCCAGCCCTAAACTGATGAAGAGTGTATAATTGGAATTTATATAGGATTATAGACTCAGACTCACTTGTGTTACTTTGGACTGTGTCCAAATCTTATAACTATAGCCTTCTACAATGTGTTCTTCCAAGGTACCTAATTAGTCACTCAATTATTCCCGGAAACAAACCAGCAACTATGGAGTTCCTACAGTCCTAGTGTTACATGGCAATAACAGGTTATCCCTGTTAGTATACTGGGTATTGCATTATGCAACAGTTGTAGATGCTGGATAGTCTTCAAAGGCAATCCTCTGTAGCCAGGTGCTAGGTGACAAGGGTTTGAATGACTGTAGCCAATGTCTATTGTTAAATAAATGGCCATGGTGCACCATTCGAAGCACAAGTACCATAGTAACATAATAAAGTAATATTCAAAAACATCTGCACTTAGGATAGACAGGCAAAACAAAGATGTTTAAGGAGAATACCGTAAAGGAAAAACAAATGTCCTTACTATATGTTCACTGCACTTTTTTTTTGATGTTGCATTCACCTGAAATGCAACTATTACTAATGTGAGTTGGCTGAACTCTGATAGGATTGACCATGACTGAATACCCATTTATTGGATCTAAAAGCAATTATCTTACCTAATAATTACGCTCTTTAGCTCAAGAAAGTGTATGTCCTTCCAAATAACACCCCCCCCCCCAAAAAAGCTTAGTCTTGCACTGTTTTTTAAGGCATTATATTAGGAGATGGAAATACAGCAGGAAAGCTGAAGAGCACAAAAGAATTTTACACATTGAATACATCTGTAGGAAGCTAAAAACGAAGCAAATGTTTACAGAAAATGGCCCTCCTATATAGAAACCCACACTGCATTGCAAAACTTGTTGAAGAAATGCCATGGTTTTAGCTACTCCTTTCACACATTCTAATTCCAATTTGGAATTCATTCAGTATAGCTGACCATATTAATTTTAAACAGTAACTCTGGACTTTTCTCTTCAGAAAAATCTACTTATATCCCAAGTACCGGAGACTGTTATCTATAGAGATCCTATTCCATTTATTGCTTCTAATAGGAAGTTGTGCTTTGACATTTCTCAACTTTCCAAACCATCTACAAGGCACCATAATAAAGTCACATAGTTTTAAGAGACAGGCAATAGTTAATTTCTTCGTCCATTGTTTGGACAGCAGCTAGTTTTTCTATACTTTTCTATGGTTGAGGAATTTACAGAGGTTAATTATTACTGCATTCTTTAATGCAACCACATACTTTGAAGGCACATTTATTCTTTCTTATGTTTTTACACATCGCCATGGGCACTATTCTCAGAAATGGCCTTTTCAAAATCTCACGCATCAAGAAATATGAAAATGAACCAGTTTCTCCTAGATTTATATGCAGATGACAGGAATGAATTTTCACTAGAAATCCTCTGCTCCACCAATGAGCAAAGACACCCTCTTGCTACAATAAATGGTTACAAACAGCTTTACTCAGCTTGGTATGTATTTATCCTTTCATTGAAGACATTTTTTTCCCTCAAATGTCACTTAGCTCAACCAAGAGATAAAATTGATTAAAAAAACCTTAAAGTCTCCATAGGAAGGATTTATCCCCAGGGGTGGGCTTCAAAAATTTTAGCAACAGGTTCTCTGCTCGGTTGCTGGGTGGATATGGCCTAGTTAGACTCCTGCGCCACAGCAAGAGGAGGCGTTTTTGCCCTGCCCAGGCTCCGGAGGCTTTCCTCGAGCTTCCGGGAGGGCAAAAACAACCTCCCTGGGTTCCGGAGGCTTTCTGGAAGCTGGAAATGGGCCCATTTCCGGCCTTCCCGAGCTTCCAAGAGGCCCATTTTTCACCCTCCCTGAGCCTCTGCACGTGCCCTTCACTTACCTGCATCCAAAACGGGCTGTGTGGGGACTCCAGGGAGGAGAGGAGTGGGATGGGTGGGGCCGGCCAGGAGTGGGATTTGGGGGTTCTCTGAACTGCACCAAATCTTAGCTGGGGGCTCTCCTGAACCCCTGTGAACCCCCATCAGCCTACCCCTGTTTATCCTGCATCTCAAAGGCACATTCCTTCATTTCTCCATCATAATGGCCCGACTTGCAAGCATCTGGACTCAACTGTGGCTTGTCCAACATGCATCTGAACGGAACAAAAATAAAATAGGCACTTTATGCCCAATACTGTAGTTATGGATAAGGACTCTGGGGGCCTTCTTTGCAGCAGTCCCTAGGGCAAAAACCCTCTGAGTCCTTAGAGCAAAGGTCATTTTTGGAGTCCATTCTGCTTGCCACACTCCATCTTAATAACAAATGGTTCAGGGTGTTATTAAATAAACAGGACAAGATTCCTAGTAAGCTCAAAGGGAGAATGTTAAGATGTTGCAAATGACGAAGATGTTGGAAGGGCAAGTTTTCTCAAGCAACTGGGGTCATAAGGCCGAGGGAAAGATACTCTTCTCCTATATAGTCCAAAGAATGCACTGAAAAAAAAACTTTCTCCCATAGATATGAATGGCTGTCATTCATTCTCTTGCCAAGTCTAGATTATAATATATTTTTTTCTGTTTTTAAAAGCACTTGGCTAGCCTGTTGTTTGATTATTGGTCTCCTGGTTACACTGACCTCTCTTTTTCTTCTTAAAATTCCACTATTTACAGCACAATTGTACTGATGACTTTTCAGAGTTCATTTTCTAATAAGTATACAAAGAAGTCAGCCATAATGGGACATGATTTTCATTTATTTGTAATAATTGTTTTATTTTTTTATTTTTTTGTGTCCTCTACCATAAGCCCACCACCACAATACTCTCTTGGGAATGGAAAATTATGATTTAAATCTTCCAACTAAGTTCCAGGAGGGCGAAGAAGATGAACTATCTGGAAGAGGGACCAACTATACTACTTGCCCTCAGGAAAAACAGGACTTTATGTGCCCTTTGGAGTGCGTAAGAAATTATATTGGCAGAACTCAGAGACACACTGTGCTCATATTTCACTGTGACATCAGCAAGGCCTATTTCCTGGTTCTCTGCTTTTTGAAGATGGAGTTTTATTTGTCTGGCAATGTATTTTCTGTGACCTTCTTCTTCCTGAGAAATCTGCCTGATGTCAGTTTTTGTCATCGCAGCACTAGAGAAATACTTTTGGCTGTACTTAAATACTTTTTTTCAAACAATCCCATGATTGTGATCTTAATGTTTTATATAAGACACTACAAATGTATTTTCATTTTATCTGCTGGCATCCTTTTAAAAAAAGCACCTAAACCTTTGTTATTTTCTTTTATTATTGCATTCCATGACAATCATTTTATCTGAAGGTTACCAGAGAAAAAGTAACTGGAGGAAAATCTAGTTTCTTAATTAATTTAGAGGAAATTCCCTCTATATTTGAACTCCAAACAAAGCATGCATAATTTTGTCCAAATCGACAGTAATCCATTGTTAATGTCTTTCTTGTACCAGATGTATTTCTGGTATTTTGGGAGGGGAAGGAGGTTGGATTGGGAAAAAAAAAAAGTTGCAGATACACACAAGCATATTTCAAACAATAGGAGTTAAAGGAAGGGAAATACTTTTGAAAGAGAAGCCTATCTGATTGGTTGTACAGTGGTACCTCAGTACTCAACTGCTTTGAACCTCATCGAATTTGGAACTCAACTCATTTTGACGAGAAAATTTTGTCCTGGTACTTAGCCACCTTTGGTAAACTTGCAGGATTCATTTTTTTCTCGCCATGTACATGTATATGTCTGAACTAGACTGTGTTGTTTCTCTGTGTCATATAATATACGTGAGTATATGCATAACTTTTTATTTAATTATTTATTTTGTCGTGTTTATATAGTGTACATTGGTGGTGGTGACCCTGAGAGCTGTATGCAACAAAATTTCATTTTAAGGTATGCCGATTAGTGTACAAAGTGACAATAAAGTTATTCTAAGTCTAAGTGATAGTTCTTGCCCTGTGTACATCTCCTGAGATCATTTTGTGTATTTTTGGCCTTTTTTCTCATCAAAACAGGTGAAGTTTTTATTTTATTTAATCTAACTGCTTATTAATCTTTAAGTTTATTTCTCATGTAATGATATACAACCTTATCTTTTTACATACTGCCTTAAAAATGTGCATTATCCTTGGTTTGGAAACACATTAAATTTATTTACATTATTCCTCATAGGAAAAATTTGTTTGGTATTCATCATTTTTGGTACCCATCGCACCTCATCATTTTAGTACTCACCATGCCTCCCGGAACCAATTAACAACAAATACCAAGGTACCACTATATTATCCCGCACCATTTTTACCCAGGATCTTCCACATCAACTATCAATATTAATATCAATTAAGTTAGTTTTAAATTTAAAAATATAACAAGGAGAAAACTAACGCAGTTATGAAATGGGAGGGGGTGATGGGTTAAAGACTCTTCCCCTTGTCACTGCATTACAGTTGAAAATCACTATCCTCTATTAGATGAGGTTCACATTTTATAGGCAGATGCCATAGCTGAGTCATTACTAAGTTATGCTACTCATGAATGGCTCTAAC